TGTATTAAAAATTATTTTTTGTTAATAATATATTTTGTGTTTGATTTTTATTTTAAACAAATTTATTATTTTTCATCAATAGATTGATCATGCAATTATGTGTAATTTGTTATTTTACTTTGATAACTTGAATTTTATTATATACGTACATATAATAAATTTCATAAATTTCTGATCGATATATAATATCATTTGTATTATTAATTAATTTTAATAATATAATTCAAATATTCTCGCAAATTTTGCTTTTTTTTTCGATTTATCGTGTAATAATATCGAGATAATAAATCATTCACATATTCCCTTCCTAATTTTTAATACTTCAATATTATTTGTTAGAAAAATATTAATGTTTTAATATTACAAGAGAATAACTAAATATTAAAAATATTAAAGATTTATTACAAGAATATATCAAAATATAAAATATGTAGATAAGTTTATACAATTATAAATAAATATTATTTCCTTCAATAATATAGGATAATTGATTTAAAAAAAAAATCTTCAAATAAGAGATTTTTGAATAATATTATATAAAATATTAATATATTATCGATAATTCGATATAACGATAAATTATATAAACGAATGAAAATAATTAAAGTTCCAACTTTTTTTTATTCAAAGTTATTATTCAAAGACATTGTTATGAATTAAATTTTTTTTCGATATTCGATTCAAAATATTATTGGAATAATATATACAACAAATAAAAGTGATTGAATTTATTTTACACTTTAATATAATTCTTAAATAATTGAATAAAATTTTATTTTATTTTTACTGCAATTTAAATAACATTTTTACATATCTTAATAATAATTTTGAATAAAGAAGAAATTTTTTAATATATTATCGATATATCAGAAATTATCAATAAAATATAAATGAGATAATTAACAACTCTATAACGAAACTTCATGTTGTATGATCAATATATGTTTCTTAACAATTGAAATTATTGCAAAAATTAATTTAAATAACATTTATCACTTTTAGTATCATTGATATTACTATACTCAATAATTCGATCAACATCACGTAATAATATAATAAAAAATAAAAAAAAAAAAAAAAAAGATTATATTTTTCTTCTATTTCGGTAATTCAATACCAGTTAATATGCTTCGTTCGACCGATAACACCAAGGTCTGTCTCGAGTTACTTAGCAGTTCCAAGAATTGGCGAGAATAAAAAGCTCATGGCCACGTAAGCCATTCCTGCAAATTCCTGACCACATACATTCAGCCACTGCTGTAATTATGAAAATAGTTCGCACTATTATAAAATAATGGTCAAACGTGATATTTCCATGATATTTAACGAATTTCTTGAATACCGTGGATAAATTGGCATAATCCTTTTTTTTTTTACAAATTTCATGAAAATTCTACTTATCGATTTACTATGATTTCCGTGGAGAATACTCGTTATCTTCATTTTTCTCATTTTTTCCCGAATTAAAGAAAAATTAATTACTTTCGATTATATGGTGTTCCATGCGGTTTATCTCGAAGCTTCTAATGAAAGCCTTAATATACCACCTATGAGCTAGCGAGAAAAAGCGAGGAGAAATTTTCCAAGAAATTCCGAAGATTTTTACCTCGTACGAGCAGGATAAAGATCGACAAAAAAAAAAAAGGATAAAAATATTCTTCTAACAAAATTTTATTCCTTAATTAATAAGAAGTATAAGTGGATCGAAAAAATGATTTAAGAGAAAAACTGAGGAAATATTAATATAAATATAATGCTGTTTAAGGCGAGCCTCTCGTGAAACTTTTCACACGGAGAAACAAATTTTGGGAAGAGAATTTTAATAGGAAATTTCATAACGTTCTTGTGTGGAAAATGGAAGTGAAATTTTCTCGCGGAAAAGCAAAATTTCCAAAAAACGATTTGCATAAAGGAAATACAAATATAGAAGGGAAGAGATTTGGTGCCAAACTCATCGATCACGCATAGATTGGATACTTGGCGCATAAACACTCGATTTTTAACTTGACCTATTTTCGATACTCAACGATTGTTTTATTTCAAGCTCACATTTAAAATTGGAATTATATTATTAATAGAAATTTTAATTATTTTTAATATAAAATAAAAATTCAAAGTTTAAAATTCGGAAGAGGTTATATATAGGGATTGGTAGGAATAATATTCAGTGCCAAAAGAATTTCCAATTGTGGATTACAATATATCTATCTATTTATCCTTAACCTAAAAAAAATTTCGTATCGCATTTAAACTAGATGTTGATAAAAAACAAGTGATTTATTTGTACAGATATTATACAGATTTTTGACTATAAATCGTTATCTTTTTAAATAATACAAAATTCCATCCATCTCATTTAAAAAAATAATCATTTTCATATGATCCTTATATCTTTATTTACAGAATAATCAAAAAAAATATCAAATTATGTTCCTCTCAAAATCATCTGCAATACTCGTTTAAACTATTTTTAATCAACCGAATTATTCATAAATAATTTGAATTTATAGATCAAAATCGTAGTGCACTTTTCAAAAATTTATAAGTAGCTGTATTTCTGCATGAAATAAAAAATTTTTCGTATAAATATTATGAAAAAAATTGGTTGTAATAAATATTTATCGATGTTGACAACTATTTTATACAAAGAAAAATTAATAAATAATTTTGAATTTTCATTTTTCTCTCATCATTTTTATATTAATACAGATTTTTTTTTCCAATATTCCTTTGATGTCTATTTATTTTTTATTACTTACTTACTTCCCACTTTTAAATGACAGTATACCGCAAATCATCGTCCCATTTATTCTAGATATAAAGCAGAGAAGTTAATTACACACAATGTTTAAATATTTTCTAAAAGCGAGTGTACGTAGAGAGTAAATAAATTGAAATAAGAAATGAGAAACGGGACAAAAGAAGCCTTTTTTTTTTTTTTAAACAGTTAATAAAGAAGCCTAAGGAGAAAAACTTTTGAAGGAAAATTTTGAACCAATTGGATTACTGAAATTTCAGTGGCATGAAAGTAATATCCAGCTTTGTGTCGAAAGAATCCCGCTTTAATTTAAAAATGTAACGTCTCTCTCATGGCTGAAGCCATGTTCGTTTGCGATAAAAACAAATTTCCAATAAAAATTTCTAATCCGCTTTTCTATATACGTACACAATATACTTTTTTATATACCTTCTTAAATTTACTGCTAGAAAATTCTATTTCTAGCTGATTCGTGGAAACGCGAATTATACAATGCAAAATAATATAATACAAAAATATTTCATCAGAAATTCTCTAGAATACTTCTCTAGTATTCCAAGTACGTTATCAAATCTAAGAGTAAAGATGACCAATATATCCGCGAAGAAAGAAGGAAGCCGTGTCTTTTCGTTTTCCTCCAATTTCCGGAGTGGCGGGAGTACTTAATTATAAAGTTTCCACCCCCTCTTCTAACCTTATTCTCCAAGAGCCACTTCTTCGAACAAATCGATTTAAACATTTTACGGATGTCTTCTCGTAAAATACACACGATTATTAATTATTTAATCATATTAATTGTCGTATTCATCGATAGGGAATCATATTTGAAAAAATATGTGTTCAAAGATTGTGTACACTTACTCTTTGTTACATATACTATGTATTATCTCTATTCGAAACACAGCACTTTTTCTTATCACAGCGATAGAAATAGAAATTTAATTGGATACGTTCACATGTATTCATTTCGTATATAACATCGAAGCGAGATCGAAAATATTTAAAAATTATGTATTTCGTTATTAAAATTATTTTCTGTATTTCGACCCCCACTACTGAATAAATTAACCTTGAATCCACTGAAGCGAACGTAATATTTTCAATAGTTTCTGTCATTATTATCGACGAGAGATAAAACGAAGTTCGAATTTCGTGTGTTCCTTATATTATACTTTTAGTGTCGGCAGTTTGAAATCAAATTTGTCTGCGAAGTGACTTTCGCAAAGTCATCAAGATAAGAATCGATATCGAGTTTCGTTCGATACCTCGTTTCATTACGTACGCTCGAAGCTTCCTTCAAAGTTCCATTTTCAAGAATTGAACTAATAAGAATAATGATAGCTTTTATATATATATAATAATAATATTATTATTTTATATATTGAAATTAAGTTTACAACGAATAAATACTATTTATTAAATATTAAAATTAAGAAGAAAGAAAATAACAAAAAAATTCAAACTTATAATTCTCCAATCTTGTGTCATATTATACCATGAAAATTCACCTTAACACATTATGGAGCTCGATGCGCGAACAATGCTATTCTCCTTAATTCAAATGTTATTAAGCATTTTTTCATTTTTCAAGATAAATCGAAATATTTGAAATTTCATACATCTTTTTTTTCTTTTTTTTAAATATTTTAAAAAGCTCATACGAATTTTAATAAATTCATTTATTTTAAGCAAAGAAAAATGATAAAACTTCAAATTTCTCGAACATTTTTAACTAAAGAGGGCAGAATGTAACTCGTTGTGAAATCATATATCTATGAAACGTGATATAATGCAAAAAATTTTTTATTTTCAATTATTTTTAAACGAATAAAACTTTTATAAATGTAATTTTAAGATTTCTTTAATTATAAAATAATATCAAACATGACATAACCTAAATCATGTTTATAAATATTTTTTATTTTTTAAGTATACAGATATAATCTAAAGTATATATCGATTTTACTTTATATTAAAACCGTGTAAAGAAATCTTAACATGCTACCAGAAATTTTACTCAAAGAAACCAGAAAAAAATTTCACCATATTTGACAAAGAAAGTAAATAATAATTTCAAGCTTCATTCGCGTCAAAAATAAAAATCATTATCTCCGTTGGATAGCTATTAATTTTTTTTTAAATACTTACTTTGCTTAACCATTTCATCCTACACGTTTGAAAAGAATATCTATATCTCGTCTCTAATCATTTATCGTGTGAGAATGGATTCGACTCGACCTACCTGTAGGTAATGAAAGCAAAGACTAGTGCCACCAGAGACAAGCTTCCTCCTAAAACCACAATGAGGCTCAACACACCATCTTGATCGAACGAGCTACCCATTCCCGTCGAAATTCCATTAGTAAGTCCGCCATTCGATTGAGGAAACCCATGGATCGCTCCTGTATAAAGTGTCTCCATTTCTTCCTTACTCTCGCATCTACGATAATGTAGAAATACAATATTTTTACCAATTCTTTTAGAATTAATTAACAATAAGATACAAATAGTTATTCTCTATACGGTATATATACATATTATATACATATTTAATCTATTTTATGTATAAATAATGATTGAAATGGTTGTCATAAAAATAGGTATAATTACATTTCTATCTCAATAATTTACAACAATTAATTCTGAGTAATCGTGAACAAAAAAGATAAGTTTTTTTTTTTAAACAAAGATTGATAAGTTTGATTGTCTATTGTTAAGTATAACAAGTATATAGATAATATGATGATATATTTGGAAAGTCAAGACAAACACAAAAATGTCGATTATTCTTTTTATATTATTAAGTTATAATTCTAATTGAAATTAGATGAAGTAAATGATAGAAGGAAATAGAGATCATTCTGTCTCTGTTACACTGTCCTTCTTACTCTACTCCTATCTTTATTATCTAATGCAAACTAAATAATAAAATTATTTACAACTTAAATAAATAATCCCAATCGACATTTTTGTATAACAATTTTTATATTTATTTTGAGAATCGACTCTTTCATGGTAAGATATTCTATATATACATATTCTTTTCCTATTTTTTAAGAATATAAGTATACATTAATGCGTAAGTAACTATCAAAGGATCGAGAATGAAACATCTATTCTCTAAGGAAGGGGAAATATTTTGTGAATTGTAAATGGTTTTTTTTTTTTCAATTTTCTCGCTTCACTGGATTGCAAAAGACGAGAGAAAAAAAAAAGCATTTCTTATAAATAAGATGGAAAAATTATATTTTGTTTCAGAATGCGTATTTTTAAAAATGTATGGATGCTTCAAAGAATAGGGTTCAGAAAACATGGTGGAAATAAATCTACAGGTTGAACGAGCAAAAAGTACAATTAACCGAAAATATGATTAACATATAACATTTTCGATAAAAATTATAATCGATAAAAATATGTTGATAAAAATTTGAGAGGGAAAAGGAATCACAAAATTATATTAGATTTTCAATTGCAGTATATTTCGAAGGACAAGCATAGTTTGAATCTATTTTTGTTTCTCGTTCTATAACACGAATTCACGTAACGCAAAATTTTGTAAAAAATTATCATTATAGAGAAATTGTGTGTATTTATATATGATGATAATAAAAATATATATATATATATATTGTAACATTAATCAATTAATTTTCGAATCGAAGACCAATTATAATATAATTTTGTCGAGTGATCGAGGAAAAATTAAAAAAGAAATAGAAGAGGTAAAGCAGCATCTTTTCTCGGATGTTGATTCTTCAATATAATCTACCTATGCGGAATAAAGAGCTTTGATTTATGATTTCTATAGGGAGCGGCGCACGAGGAGTACACGAAATGTCAATTAGGATTTATGATCCTTCAATATCCTATAGTGCACACTAAGCAACTCGTACATTATTCGCATTACGTTTTACATATTGATTTAAGGATGTATCTCTGTGGTTTTAATTAGAATAGACGTTTGATATTTGCGTAAAAGTAACGTATTACATTATTTACAATTAATTATTATAAAAGATATTAAAAGTTACATATTATTCGATAAGAAGGAATATATATTGTATATGATGCATTCAAAATGTTCCAGGATTAATTTTATTATTATTAGAAAATGTAATAATGTGATTATTTGTGTTACAAAGTAAAATGATGAAACCGTCTTATTATTATTTAGCAAGATTAAGTTTTACTTACTTTTTTTTTTTAAATGTATTAATAGCACAGAGAATGTAATACGGAATAAAATATATAAAGATAAAAAATCTAGAAACGTCGAGTATGGAAAATTATCATTTCGCAAGAATTCTTCGTTTAATTTGTAATATATTATATTGTTTTATATATTCATTTTGAAATATCAATAAATTTATAAGGCTAAAGAATAAAAAAATAATATAATGTGATAAAAATAAGGATAATTAAACATATTTCTAAAAAAATGTTAGAAAATAAAAATTTCAAAACTTGTTGCTGCATTACAAAAATTAATTTTATAGAAACGCGTTAAATTTGAAATGTTTAGACAATGAAAGTAAGTTTTTTTTACACCATTAAAAATAATATTATATAATTATATTGTACAATTTTGATCACGATAAAATTAACTCTTTCTTCGAAATTTGTCTTTTTCCCTAAAATTGAAAATGGTCATGATAGATATAACATAAGCTGTGATAAATAAAATGAAAATAATAGAATGAAAATTAGAGGAAAGTAACCATAATTTTAAAAAAAATTGTATTAAAAAAGAAGAATTTTTCAGATACTTTCAACAGTTTTACAAATATTATCAAGAGTCCATAAAGAATGGAATTACGATATTTTTAACTATTTTTTGCATTGAAATTGTTTAAAGAAAACTTTCATTCATAGATAGAAAAATTATTTATATTTTTTTATCTTAGTTTATTTGTTTGTTATTTACACAAGTTCAAAGAAAAGAATTTCATTCATTTATACGTGAAAATATTTTTTATGAATAATTTTAATATAGAGAATAATAAATAGAGGAGAAGATAATATAGTAATATAGTATATAGTAATATGAAACTCGATTCTTAATTAATATTAGTTAAATAAATACGTTTTCTTTTTCAACATGTATACAAGTATATTGAAATATATATATATACTTATATCATTATTATATGCATGTAAAAATTATCATTATATCTGTTATTTTTAAAAATAGTTAATTTATATATATATTGATATCACTGTAAATATATATTAATAATAATAAAAATAATAATACTAAATTCACTAAATATATTCACGTAAATAAATTAAATTAAATTTCTTCGAATAATCAAGAATCAAAATTGCATATTATCTTCAAATAGTGAAATAATACAAATAGGAAAAAAAAATATACTTTTTTTAAATGAAGATAATAAAATTTTCTAATTAAATATTTGAAATATTTCTTCTAGATAAAAAAGAAATATATTAAATTTTGAGGATAATTTAAATTAATTTTCGAAAAAAATAACAAAAAAATAAACTAAGTTTCACATATATCTTCTTTCTTATTTTCTCTATCTCTCTCTTTCTATCTCTCTATTTTTCTTCTTTATTTTTTCATTTAGAGAAATAAAAATAAGGATATATTAAATATAATGAAATTTTATTTATCATTTAGATTTTTCTCTAAATTGCATTAATCGGAGAATATTTTAAATGCATTTTTAAAACATGTGTAATGTACGAATAACAAATTGAAATCAAAATAGAACAAGACTAATATTTTTTTCAGTCAGGACTGGTAAGGAAAATTGAATTTGCGATGGAGTCTCGCGTATCAGGGAGATGCAAATTGAAACAGGCCTGGTAATTTCCTATAAAGAGGTGAATCAAAATGGCGCCCGACACCGCCAGCCACAAATTGCGGCCTTCCTTTACAAAAATTGCTACTAATCGTGAACATTTGTAACTACGCATTAAATCGTTATTAATCAATCAAGTATAAAATGGATGAAAGGGTGATATTTTCATTGAATTTCACTATTTTTTAAATTACTAAATATATCGCTTCGTAACCAAAAATTGATTAAAAATTTATAAAAATAATTTAAATTTTTTTCTTGAAAAATATTTCAAAATAAAAAAAAAATGTAATGATGAAAGGAAAATAATTTTTTTCTTTTGAATTTTTTCAATCTCGATCAATATTCCGTTGATATATTTTTAAAGATTTGTTAATAAAATTTAATAGAGTCAATTAACGTTTAAAAAAATGTTTCGTTAATGTATAAAACGATTATAATGATTCCGAAAATTTATGTCCTATGTTTCGTATATTATTTTCTATTCCAGTACGAATTCGAAATTTAAATATACGGATTTTATCGCTTCGATTTCCAATTTGATTCACAAGAACAAAATACATTTTTCTCCCCATTTAATATTTTTATCATATTTGAATCACGATTATTCGCGAACTTTATAAATATTAACTTTTAAAATTATTTCATATTATCTTAATAATAAAGTAAATAATAAAAAATATATGAATCAAAGAATAATAAACAGATAAGAAGAAAGAATAATAAACTGAAATTCCTTATTTTTTTTAAAAAATGCAACACATTCAAATTTATAATAAAATCTTATATAACCATAATAAATGTTTGCTCGACATAGATATTTTGACATATGTAATTTACAATCATTTATTATCTAGTTTACATCTTATAATTTTCCTCTAATACACTTAAATATTTTTTTTATAATAATATTTTTATAATTAACATTTCTCTTAGTTAATGTTTGAACAAATTAATTTTATAAATTAAATACTATAACTTTTAATTTTATATTTAAAATATTCAATATTGTTAATATTATAATTCAATATTCATAATTATATAATAAAACTATATGGTTATAATAATAAAAATTTCTTACCTCACAAGGTAGAGAAATAATAATTAATTCGATGAAAAAGATTCGAAAGATGATGCGCGAATCCATGGATCATTTCATGTTTTCTTGAACGAACCACGTGACACTGAACACGTGTTCTAAAGACGCGGTCGTATATCCTTTCGAATTAACGGATATCTTTAAAGAAAAAGGAGTTGAAGAAATAGATCATGTTATTTGATATTTGAAACTTGCGTTTACATTGTATGTGTAGTAACATCTTTAAGAATGTGTTCGTGTGCTTGAATATCAATCGAATGATCTTTTTTTCACTCGCAAAAGCTGGATATATACACAATCGCTTTTTACTCATGAAACCGATACACGCGATCACCGTTCCATTGCTATCACCTGTCAACACTATTTTTTATCGTCCTTTCTCTCTTTTTCTTTCTCTCTCTTTTCTTATTAACATCTTACGTTCTTAGTATATTGAGAAAAAATCTCACGAAATAATAGATGTTATCAAAGAAGTTGCATTTTCTTTTACAAGACATTGTATTCGTTTGATAACCAATCAACATTTACATATCAAAATATTTAATCCAATGAAATAATATAATATTTTATATATCAAGAATATCAATAATTGTTGTTGATTCACCACATTAATAGATATAAAATAATATTCCATAGAACGAAAAATGATAATGTGTCATAAAATCATATCTTCATTGTTTGAAATTGAATAAAATAAATACTGACTACATCCGTTGTAATATAGGTGATTTTGTACAAAAAAACACACTTTTTCTTGTTGTAAAGAATATTTTAAACAAATAAACGTTATTTGAAAGAATACATTGAAATAATTAACACAACGTGATGACCATCAACACCGATATTTAACGAAAAATTACGAAGTAATAAAATACGTATGAACTCGTCGAGCAACGGCGCCGAACTGCAACGAAATTTGTTCGCGCTCAAGTCCTTCGCGCATCTTATATTGCGCATATATCTAAAGAATTAATAGGAAATAGAAATATTTCAAGATTTTTAATATTATGATAATTGGTTTATTTTAATTGAGAAAATTATAGAAAATATAAAAATATCAAAAATAAAAAAAGAATAATAATACAAGGATGGAGTTCATAAATAGAAATGTAAAAAACAAATTCTTTATTTTACTTTTCATACATACGAAAAGTTAAAATTTTTCGTTAACTATAAAATACGCATTCACTGGATAAATGCAACAATAAACGTCAAACATGGAAATAAGTCAATAATATTAAATTTAAAAATATGTAAAAATTTAAATTCATGCATATGTACAGATATAATAACCAATACTTTAACCATAAAAGTAGCAAATAATATTGCTAAATGTCAAACCAATCAAGTTGTAAATTTGAGATTCATCGCATTCTTATACAGAATTAACGAGTTTTATACATTCGAAGTTAACTAAAATTTGTTATAGATTTACAATTATATGGTAATAACAATTTTCGAAATTAGTGTGAAACACACATCTCTTTCGTCATTAAATTAATTAATGTACAATAATTTACATTCATATATGCACAAGAATTGTATAATTTATACAATTAATACATTAGCCTATGAAGAAGTTAAAAATATAAATGATTAAAAGAATATCAGTCTATAGAATTATAATTATCGCAAAACTCTATTTCGTTATATGTTTCAGCTATCCAACCAAGTAAATATTTTACTTTTTCTGTTGTTTCATCTGATGCTTTGAAATCAGTTATAACTTCCATTAAACATTTTGATAAACGTTTTAGTATGGGCTATAAAAAATACAAAAATTAATAATTTAATAGAAATGATATTTATCACAGTATTATAATAAAATATTTACCACAGGCCAATTTTGCCTAAATAGAGCTACACATTGATCACTAAAATTGTCAATATCTAAAACGTTTTTTTTTATCAATTTATTAATAAATTTTCCAAACACTATCCAAACTTCTTCTTTTTCTGGTTGAGCTAATAGCATAACGTTTCTAGAACTAAGTATTCTATTTATTGATGAATCCAACTCCAAAGTTTTACAACGACTCATTGCCCATACTTTAATAAATTTTTCTTGAACTTTTAAAGTAAACAAATCACTTCGATAAGCAACTATAAATAAAAAAGAAATTAATATTACAATTTATAATAAATTATAGTTATAGTAACTTAATATTTTATTACCTAAAAATAAAGCAAAATCTATACTAAGAGAGTATAAAACTTTCTCTGGCCCCACAACTAAATCAGCTCTTTCATTTAAGGTCTGATATAAATTATCCAATACAGTTAAAACCATCGTTATTGTTAAAGAATCACCACCATTATCAAGTATAATCCATATAAATTCCTATAAAAATTTTAATATAAAAAATAATATTTTCATGTTAATAATCGTATTATTATAATATTATGCAAAGAAAAATAAAATATAAAAATAATTACTCTTAAATTATCAGTGATAGTTGTTGGACTCATAGCATTTGGGTTATGTTTCTTTTCTTCAATTGGATGTAATGGTGCATTGTTTTTTAAAAATCTATTTAATTCAAGTTCCATATCTTTTATAAATAATGATCCACCCACTATGTGTGATTGTATCCATTGATGTATACGTTCCATAGCTAGTCTCGTAGCAATTTTAGTACACATTTCCTTCACGGATGTCAAAGAATCTTCCGCTAAGAGAGACTCCATACATTTAGTTACCCGTAATTCACAAATTCCCGGTATAGATGCTTCACATTGATCTTTCAATTCTTTAGACATATTTGTAGCTAAAGTATTCATATGAGTTGATATAAATGCCTAAATAAAATAATATAATATGATTAAATTTTTATATAATTTTGATTGTTCTTAATCGATGCTCCTTATTTCTTATAAAAAAAATATTAAGCTATTTATATTTTATTATAATATTATATTAAAAAAATTTTTAATCTAACACATATTTTAATTTGGAGATCACAAAAAAATGAAGAGAATATGAACAATAAAACATTACTTTGCTATGTTTTTCTTAAAAATATAAGTTTAAATATAAGTTTTTGAATTCAATTTACTCAAAATTACAATATCTTCTTAACTAAAAATTTTTTGATATAAAGTTTTTTTATAAGAAATAGTGAATTGCACAATGAATTAGTGCAATAAAAATTATAATTCTATTTATTAAAAAATTAAAATTGATCTTCATGTGACTTTGAGATATCAATTTATAAAAAAATTATTAATATTGCAATCTTTTTATATTAAATTATTTTAAATTTGTCTCAAATATTTTTCATATCATTTATATTTTCTAATATTTAATTGGTTTGGTTCAAATAAATATATTGTCAATCAAGTATATAATATATGAGATACCTTTAGAAGATCAAAAGAAATACAAAAGTTGATATATAAAAATTGATTGACATATTTTTAATATATTAATATATAAATTTTTAATATAAATAATTTAAGTTTGTATTATATGTATTATTATATTTGTGTTAATTAAATAAAATGAAGTGAGAATAAAACAAGATGATGTAACAAAAACAATTATAGAATAATGTAATCTGTTTCATTATCATCATTATATCTGTTTCACTTCATCTAATACAAATTTAAGTTGCTTATTCTTATTACTTAATAAATAAAAAATTTAACTAACATTTTTTTGTATATCAATTTTTACATTTGTTTTGTCCTTTAAAATTAACTTTCCAAAAAATATTTTAACAATTTATATATGTAATTTTATAGTAATATAAATATATTTTAAATATTGTATATTTTAAATAGATTTTAATATTGTAATATAAATATATTAAAAATTAACAAATTTACCTTAAAATCTGTAATATTACGTAATAAATCTCCAATTTTTTCAGGTTGCCTTTCAATTTGCTTTTTTTCCAAAATCTCCTAAAAATATTTAAATTCATTTCTCTAGAAGACATTAACAAAGTGTTACATATATGTTTCACACAAGTTGAAGCAACTCGCTCAGATACAAAATCAACAGTTTTTCGTGTAGATGCTGGTTGTCCGCCAAAAAATGCTTCTTCTAATTTCAACTATTAAAATATAACCATTATAATATTTCTTATAAAATAATTTAATTAATAAACTTACCTCTAGATGTTTTATACCTGCACTTTTAGCAGATTTATGAAGTTGACTAGAAACTGGTGTAATATGTTTATTTGAATTATAATTATTTAAATTTGCATTTGAATTCGATACAGATACATTTAATCCAACCAGTGGACAACATATACGCAATGTTCTTTCATTAATAATATCTAATTTGTCTAAGTTACATTTAGTTGATGTAACAGACACAGTAGGTTCCCCCAATAGTATATTCTTTTGCACGTATTGTTTATCAAGTTGCTTCAAATTTCTTAATTCTTTAACTTTATATATTTCTTGCCAAGTAAGATAAAAATCTTTTGGAACATTTGATAATTCAAATAACCAGCATAAAGTAGATTTAAGAAGAATTGCTGTTTGTTGAGAAATAAAACTATCAGATGTAGAAAAATCAAAATGATTTACAACTTTATAGATATAATATAAAAGTTCTAAAGTTTGCTTATAATATGGTAATCGAAGAGATACAGTATCCATCATAGCCAAATATTTTGCTATCCAAGGTACAGTTAATGATAATTTTCCTGATGCTATTGCATTATGAAGACAAAGATGTAAATTTATTGCTGGCACAACCTAAATAAAAACTTAAACATTAATTATATATAATGTAAAATCATAAAACATTAAAAGTAGATCACTTACTTTGGTTCTTATTTCCACTTGAGTTGCTATTAATTCTTTAAAATTATTTGATTCTGATCTATAAGGTAATGATACAAGGAGACCTAACACTTTTGCAAGAAGTCTTAAACTGCATAAGCATATAATAAAATTTTGCTGAGTTTGTTCATCAACTATTGTTTCTATTAAAAAAAAAAACTCATATTTATATATTAACAATAATTAAAAATAATATCAGTATTGAATAAATATTAATACCTGAATCTTCTATTTCACTATTATTAAATTGAGTATCATTCAATTCCATTATTTCATGAATTAAACAATTTTCCAAATGAACATAAAAAATTGGATTAAAAGCAAACAATATAAAATCTTTGAAAAATTCTTGCACTCCAGGGAAAGATGGTTCAGTGACTTGATTTTTGGAAGGCTGTGGAGTTACTAATCGTTTCTGAAGCTGATTCAATTTTTTTGGATTTTCATGTTTCAAAGCTTTTAAAAAACTTATACTTTCATCATCTTCTACTTCTGTCTGAAAATCATAAAAATAAACTGAAAAGTTAACAAATAAATAAAATATTGTTTATAAGCAAACATATAACTTAATTGTTTAAGCTTACCTGTTGTCTATTTTGTATACATGAAATTAAAAGTTGTGACTTAAATAATCTTGCAAAATGATAATAATTTATAGCATCATTGTGCAATGTTAACATAGTTCTTATTTTACTTCCTAAAGCTATTTGAAAATTCCAACCAGGTACTGAATGATTTTTTTCCCATATTCTAAATATTTCATAAAATGTATCTCTTTGATTTTTAAATGTTTGAAAAGCAGCTGCAGATGGAAAATTTTCACGATTATCTGTATCTATTTGAAAACACACATTTAATTCACCCATTATGTATATAAGTAGCTGTAAAAAATAAAATAAAAATATAATTTTATTCTTATATATAATAAATGTTTGTTTTATATCTTTGATTTGTTAAATTATATTAAAATATTTATATTAAAATAAAAATATTTACTTCAATAGTGAATAATATATTTCAGGAAAACTCAATAATAATAATCACACAATGCATAAAGATTACATATAATAAATAATAAAAAAAAAAACTATTTTATAAATTAGTTTATGTACAAATTTTGTAAATAATACAAAAATTGTTATATTTTATTCATACAATTGCAAAATAGTCTTATTAAAAATAATTCTTTAAGTAAATATAATTACATATAATTACAAATATTGTATGTATAATTTAAAAGGAAATATATTTACATTGTATTTCAAAAATATATACTTTTACAAATATTTTAAACGTACTCATTTACTTAAATCACGGAATACATAAGATAAATGTCGATCAATTTTGAAATCTAGTAGGTTATGTTTATAACTGTAAATACGCTTCAAAATAATGTGCTACAACTAAAACTTATGCAATATTAGTTCACACATTTATAATTCGTTAATTGAAAAAAAATTTTTAATTTTTACAAAAGGCTATATTTTAAAATATACATATATCAATGCTGTAGTATTTCGCATTTTGAACACTTATTCTTGACATACAATAATTCAATGGCATCCATCTTGCTTTTACAAATAGAATATATATATTTATTATTCTAGTATGTTATAAATTTTTATATAAGGAAATATTAAAACAAGAATCAATATATCAATGAATATCCCATTTATTGAATTTAATAAAAAAATATATATATATATATAAACAAATATTTAAATATGTTCAAATACTTATAATAATTTTTATTTTGTTATTTTTCCACTTCTTACATTGTGTTATCTCTAGTTCTTTTAAAATAATCCTTTAGAACCAACAAGAGGATAGCTAGCACTAGAAGCAATACCACAATGATTTAATTTATTCCTAGCCATTTTGATATATCCATTATTACCCCATGTTTCACCCCAACTATTTTTTACAAGCCAATAATCTTCACCATTTTCATTAGTACCATATCCTATTACTAACACTCCATGATCTAATTCTTCTGAAGAACATTCTGGTTCATAATAGACACCTATAATTTATGTAATATTTATTTTGTTAAATCAATAATTTTTTAATTTATATTCGTTTCAAATTATATAATAAGTCAACAAACCTTCCGAATAAAATTGAAAAGATTGATGAGAAGCATCAATAGCAACAGAAACTGGACCTATAGTAGCAACTGCTGCTTTAAGCAATTTTTCATTTCCTGTTGGAATGTCTATGTAACCAACATCAATAGCACCACTATTTGCTGGATTATATCTGTATACATTATGAAATTTATACTCATTGCTTACATATATGATATCTAAAAAAGATTTTTTCTTCGATATTTACCTGCATTTATCATTTTCAGCTTCATATGGATAAGAAGCTTCTGTATCTAAACCTTTATTATCTTTAATATATTGAAAAGCTTGATCCATCAATCCTCCATTGCATCCATTATTACCATATTTTCCAGAACAATCAATTAAATTTTGCTCACTTAATGAAACTAATACTCCTGTTCGTCGAAAATGTTGACCTTCCAAAGCCCCAGTCTATACAATAATAAATAATATAATTCGTTTTATTTTAATTTTTTATTCTATTTTATTTAATTATTTACAACTTATTATAATTTAATAACTAAACACTATTTTATTATTAATTTCAAATAACTCATTGAATTGATTTATTAAATATATTATAATTAAATTTTATTTTAATTACTATTAATTTAATTACATAATTAAATTATTGTATATTAGTTATAATAACTTACTGCAGAAAATGACCAACATGATCCACAATGGCCTTGATCTTTAACTGGAGTTACAGCACCTTCTTTTCTCCAGTCAACTTTTTTTGGCAATGCTACATTTGCTGGTTCGATAAATGAAGCACCTATGGGCATCCTTTCAGATCTTAATTGAGTATTTATTGATTTATTAAAACCATTTAATATATTTACAAATTCATGATGAAGCTAAAGCAAAGTTGAAATGAAATTATATACTTCTTAAATTTTTAATAAATATAAAATTATTTAAATTTTATAAATTACCATGTCTCCATATTTATTCATTTTTAATTTATATGAAACTTTCTTCATTTCATAATTGCTATTATGTTTAGCAATTTTATGTTTGTTATCCATAAATATTTTCATCCTGAATCTTTCTTCAACATCAGATTTATATGCTTTTTTATGTTCCATCTAGAAATTATAATAAAATAATAATAAAATAAAATATTTTTTTATTTTATTGTCACTTATAACTACTTTACATTTTAAATCATCTTACAATTCTTAGATACTATAAAAATAACAAATGATTACGCTGTTTGTAAGCAAATTCTTTATCTCATTTGAAGATAAAGGTTATTCTGATATTTAAATATACAAAATGCATACTTTAATCATTATTTATTATTATTATCATTATTAATTTATTATCATTATTTACTTATATAATATAATTTGTCTATTTCAAGAAATGAAATTTGTTAATATGGATACACAAAATTTATATATATAACTCTACATATTGTCAAATTATTAATCTTCCTTTCTTTAATATAGAAATAATTCTCTAAAATAGAAATAATATGTAAATTATTTAATTACCTTAAATGTCATCCATTCTTGATTAACTAATTCAAAGAATGATACAGCATGTACTGTTGCAAATATTGTTATAAATAAAATCAAAAATAATTTCATGATTTTAAAATTATATCTGGAAATATATAAAAATATATAAAAATTAATTTCTTAGTTAATAAATTATATTTATTAAGATATATATTAATATGAATAAATTTTATATTAAATACTTTAAGTAATATTAAACTATTTAACAAAAATGATAGAATTTTATTAATATTATAACTGATTTGTATTGTATCTTAGTTAATTTTTATCAATTAATTTTATCGAAACTTCATTAAAATATTTTTTATCATTAAAAAAACTATTTTTAAAAAGAAAATAAAATGAAATAACCATATAAATCAAATAATATAATTTCAATCGTATAATTTTTCATTTTCCTTTGTCAAATTTTATGAAGTTCACATAATAACAACAAAGAAATACTCTTAAATTCCATGAGAATTCTATTTTTTTTTTTTCAATAAAAAATACGTCATTATTCTATCATACGATATATTTATACGATACACTAATTATACAAAAATTTCTACTACGCAACTTATTACATTTTCATTATTGATACTATATAAACAAAGAAACAATTAAATATTAATTATAAAATAAAATTCCGTACAAGAAAATCAAAATATATATATTTATTTATAAATATTTATTTTTTATTAGATATATTTATATCAATATAATATAATAAACGAACAAGAATTTTTAAAATTACTTATATAATAAAAAATACAAAGAAATTAATAGTTTTAAATAATTTGCAATGAAATCGAGCACAATCTATTTCAAATGTAAATATATTTCCATAATTGAAATAATATTACGAATTATACGAATTAAAATAAAATATTTATCAAAAAGAGAATAAAATTACATAGATATTTAAAAAAAAATACTTAAATTGAAAATCAAATATTAATAAAAAATACAGAAAAGAATAATAATAATGAAAGTTTATACTTATATCTGTCTATAATTATAATGTAATTATTATTAACATATACAATGATATATAAAATTTTTCAAATATTTTATATATATTTTATAAATTATATAATTTAACTTACTATTTAATTAAATAAGAAATATTTGTCGTAAATAAAACAAATATATCTTCTGATTCTTAATACTTCAGAATTGAAACTAATACAATGTGCTCTCTCTTCTCTATATTCTATAGCCTCCCCTTCTATGTACTACGTGATTCATCGTTTGTTAGCTTCTATTGTACAACAGCGTCTCCCAACTTCCGTATCATGATATGATATACTAAGTGATTCATAAAAAAAATGGGAACATTATTAAATTACATATTGAATATGAGCTTTCTGAGTTATAAAAAAAAAAATACTAAAAAAATGGAAAATATAAATATAAAATAATTATAATAAAAAAAATATTATCCAATATTTATTTTCAAAATATATTTGTAATTTGTATTTCAATTTGTATTGAATTCATCATATTGTATTCAATTATTGTAAACAATTACAATTTTTTTATATTCTTTTATTTAACCTTTCAGCATTTTATTTAAATAATTTAAATAACTTTTAAATTATTTTTAAGATGATGAAAGCAATTTTTCTTAATTATTTTTAAATTTATTATATTATATGTGTAGAAAATATGATTTTTTGATTATTGTATACTACTATTTTTCAAGATGTTTGAATTTTATCATTAAGTTCATCTCATATTTTATTTTTATATAAATCTTATGTTATCTCAAACATTATATATATATATATAATATATAATATTATAATATAATACAATTTTAATTTAATATTAAAATTTATATTATAAGTAATATTAAAAGATATTTATGATAATAAAATATTATTATTTAACAATTAATTTAAATAAAATTTCAATATATTAACTGAAACATTGAAATTTTTAGTTATCATAATCACTTTATCTGAATACATTCTTGCGATATTTTATATAAATTGATTTGAATAATCATTCATTATACATTATAATCGTCATGTGATTCTGATAAATACTTAGTTAGCAACGCAATTTCAAACACATATGAAAATAATGCATTTTATCATGTTTAATAATGTTTGCATTCTTTGAATTGCATTCTAATCTTCCGATTTTAAATTATTTATGATTATTTAAAATTATTCTTTTACAAATTATTATATATTTATATATATAAATATATAAATTAGATTTATTGTTCCTATTTTTATTTTTATTTAATTTATTTACTTAAAATTTAAAAATTAAAATTATAATTTTAATTAAATACCAAATATGTGTATTAAATTATATTAATCTATTTTCTTTAATTAAAGATATAATAAAAAGAAAACATGAACTTTTGAAATAATCTTTAAATTTTATTAGTATATGTTAAAATAAAAAAATATTTTAACAATTAAACATTAAAAATTTATTAATGTAAAATGATTAAAAGTCAATATCTTATATAAATGTAAATGATTAAAAATCTATTATTTGTCAATAAGTAATTTAATTATAATATCAGTAATGTATTTATTATATTAGTCTGTATCTTCTTATCCTTGTCATCACAAGCAAAATTGCCAACAATATTAAATTGCTTTATGCATATAACATATAGATTTAACATTGTACTCTTTCTCATTATTTATAGAATAATAGAAAGGAAACAGACTGATAAAATTTGACATACTCAGTAGTATTATCGTATCACTGAATAGATGGCGTTGTTAAATTCGTTGTTAATTTGTCTTCTATTATTCTCTACATAGAGTGTGATATTGGACTCATGATTAATAGAGGAGTAAATTGAAAATTATACGATGCGATATGCTACTTATAATGTGAAAATTATAAATTTTATAAATTTTTATTTGCAATAGTGAAAGTGATTTTTCTGCAATTTTATATTTTATTTTTTAAAGATTTCAATATGAATAAGAATTAAAACAAATATTTAATATTTAATTTATTTCTATCTGTGTATATCAAATATAATTTTAAAAATGATTATATATTTAAAAATTATTAAAAAATATAAATATTTATTTTATTATGGAGATGCTAAATATATTTATTAGTCTTTTCATAATTATCTTAACATAATTTATTTTTTAAAAAACTTTTTAGAAATTTTTTATTATATTTATATTTAATTTTAGAATGTGTTATTATAATATTATAAAATAATATGTAGACTTTAATAACAAAATGATTGCACCTAATATAAATTAAATTAAAACACAAAACAAGATATATATTTATATAATGTTTATAATTGCTACATCATTTTCAATCAAAAAAAAAAAAATTTTTTAAAAACAAAAATTGATTATAATTTTTTAAATTATGATATAAATTTAGAAACTAATAATGAATTTTATATAAAATTCAAATAGTGATACAAACATATTTTTAAAGACATTTTTTAAGATAAGTATTTTATTGTCAAATGAAACTGATAAAAATGACAATTAGTTTATTAATACATAATATATCATTTGTATATTTATATATATGATGTATTTATATGTTACATAAATAATATCTTTAATTTTATAATTTTTATATTATTATGAATGTATATATTTATATATGTGTGTATTATAAATCTTTTTTATTTTATCTCTTATAAATATATAATACAAATAAGTTTTTCAGTTTTATTATATAAATATATATGTATATATTTATTTATTTGTGTATATTTTATTGTATTATATTATTATATTGTATTATTTTTCTATTTTTTTTATATATATAAATCAAACCTTCTTTATATAAATTTGCATATATTATAGCAATTATATTATTACAGAGAGTTAATATATTCGAATGTCTGTGGAAAATCGAAAATAAAACAAATGCAAAAGTTAGTAATGTTCGTTAAAATATTTATTAAATTATAAATGTAATATATATATAAAATATAATATTTATTTATTTATTGAATTATAAATATAATATATATATAAAATATAATAAGCATGTTTCAATAGACATTTTTATATATTAAATTTTTTGTTTTAATTTCTAAAATCAATCTTTCAAAAAATTCTTTAAAAATGTTCAAATATATAAATATTTTGTATGTATAATAATGAAGCATTTTAAAAAAATAACTAATAAATGTTATTTTGTATAAGTAAATATTATTATTATTATTAATATTTAAATTTATTTTGATTTTCTTACATTTCAGTATTTATTATTTTTGAAAAATATTTATACAAAATATCACATTATTATGATGTCAAGTCACGATATTGAGCTTTAAATTGATGAGTGACAGATATCTTTTCATTTTATTGTTATTCTCTCTGATATTCTAATGTCCTAATATAATTTTATTTCGGTATTTGGCTAACTAACTATTAATAATTTTCTGTTGGTAACTCTGTGCACATAATACTTTTTGTGAATTGGGAAATATTTTTCTTGAGAACAAATTTTGTAACAATAAAATGAGTTCATCCAAAATAGAATTGTTTGATGTATCACCAAAACAACGAGAAATAATATTATGGAGAGACGCGAGAAGAAAAGAATTACGTCTAAAGTATTTAAGAGAAGTTCATAATCCAATAAAACAAACAATGCCCGTATGTGTCGATAACTTTTTAACCTTATATAATTCAATTGATTATTTAAAATATACTTTATATTGATTTATTTAGTTTCATATGTAATTGAATGAAATTTAATTATTTTAATTATTTTTGATTCAACAATTATTTTAAATTTAAAAATAAAATAGTTTTATAGTTTTATATTTTTAATCATTTTATTAAAAATGAATTTATTTATATATATTTATATAACTATATATATAAATTATAATATATAAGTTTTTTTTATTCATATAATGTTTCATTAATATATTCCATAAAATATAAATATAAATGATATAAATATATACTTTCAAACATATTCAAAAATATAATATTAATTTTTTGCTATATTCTTGTAATTAATTATAATTGGCATTATTATTATATTAAAGTATTAAAATATATAATATAATATATTAAAATATATAATAGGTGGAATCTGCAGTTATGCGTTTAAATGGTTTAAGACTTCAACATGAATATATCACAACAGTAAGATTATATCCTCATGTGATAAGGAGTTTTATATTATTGGGATCTATATTTGCAGGAGCATTACTTTTAAAAAAACTAAGAGTAAAACTAATTATTAAATAATTTAAAAATATTTATTTAATAAAGATCATGAAAATAATTTTTTTATATTTTACAGGATGATAAGGAACATTTATACCGTAGTGGTCAAGTAAGCTATGCTGATAGAGAATTTAAATTTGCCTAATAATATTGTTTTTTCTTATAGTACATTTATAAATGCTAATAAAATTTAAACATTATTAGATAATAAATTATATATTAGTATTACATATATTGTTTTATGTAATATAAGTACAGAATAATTACAAATAAAAATAGCATGACAAAATTAGTTAATAATAATAATGTTATAAAATTCATTTTATCATTTTATATTGATGTTTCATTTTATTTAATTTTTAAATACATGATTTCATTAGTCTACTAATAATAAAAAATCTATATTTTAAAAATGGACTGATTGATATAAAATCCAAGATTTTTTTTTTATGTTTTTATTTAAAAGATTTTTGTTTTTTTAATCATATTTAAATATATTTTATTTTAATTTTTTCTTTAATATTTATATATTTAATTATCGATCTTCAAGTTGTTTATCACGAGCAATAACTGCATCATCAAATTTAACCATATATGTTGTTCCTTTATGCCAATGTGCAGTCACTTTTGCTTGCTATAAAAACAAATATATTTTTCATTATCCTAATAATTTTTAATTTTTTTAAAAATAATAATTAACAAACTAATACATACAAAACCACAATCACAAAGAATAGCTTCAACTATGCCAGCAATAAAAGAAGCACAATTTAAACTTCCTTTATCTTTTGGAACTGATATAAATTTATTTACTATTGCTTCTTTTTCTATGATATAATAAGTACGTTCATCATCATTTGCATGTTCTAACTTATCAGCTTCACGACCAAACAATGATTTCCATACTGTACTTTTAATAAATAATAAAATATTTAATAATTTTATCTCACGTTTTCCACCTTTCTCCCGTACGACAAGTAGATCTGTTACTCTGTGGCCAACTTCCATACCTATTTCTGCCAATCTAACCAATAAATAGAAAACACTTGTTCTGTATAACAATTTTTTAATAAGCTTGATTATTTACATACTTATTTTGCAATTCTGGTACGGTGTACACTCGATTTTGACAATATTGTACAAGTTCTGAAAATAAAAGTGCAAAACAACTCAAGCTAACCTCTCCCTTTCCTTTACTTAATGATTTATCAAGGATGCTTGTTCGTGTTCGAATTGCTGATATTGTAATACTCGTCATTTCTACAAAATAATTAATATATAATATAACATTGTACTATTCGTAAAAATAAAAAACTTTAACTAGTTAACTGAATAAAA